GATCATGCCTTTTACGGTTGCGGCTCTTTGGTGAACTTGACCATCCCGGACTCAGTTGAGCACATTGGGCATGGTGCCTTTGGTGCTTGCCGAGTTGCAAAGCGCAGACGACGCAGCGCAGACGCTGAAGTTGGAAGATTTTGACGGGGCGCAGGAGAAAAGTTGTGGTACAGACATGACGCACAGCCTGACGGACACATAGTCTATGCCTTGTGATATCCTTTTCTGCTTACCCAGACGCTCATGGGCCCTCATATGTGGTTTTGAGGGACCAGTCGGGCTGTGAACGGAGCGTCTGCTTAGGTAGGGAAGTGCTAAGGTAGCAGTTCTTTGACAAAAGTGTCTGACTTCATTGCTGACTCCAAAATAGTGCCTTTGAGTTTGGTCGACTTTGGTCGTGTCCATCTCCCAGGCGTGTGTCGCGTGTCGCTTTGAGACCGTACGTATACAGAGTACGTATACAGATGCCGTACATGCCGGAAATCCTTTGGCAAAGCGTGTTTTCTGTCACAATCCTTTGCGAAAAAAACCTACTTCGGCAAGGATGCGTATTGTCCCACTTGGTGTTTTCCCTATTTTTTGATCCTTTTTGGCCACTGAAGTTCATGTTTTCACCTGTCTTCACCCTCCACCAGTCCCAGACACTCACTCCATGGGACTGCACCGCCGCCCCAGAAAGACCCCTGGCCTTTTCTCGGCCTATGTGGCCCATGAACTGATGGTGGCTCCCCCAAAAAAAAGCCAACTCTTCTAACTGTTCTATGTCTCCCCATCGGATTGCTGCAGCTAAAGCGGTCATGGAGTCCATTGTGTGCTAAACACAGCCCCATTTCGCTCAGACCGGGTCCCCTGCGACCGTGCTCGGGACGGAGCCACACAACGCGAGGCTTTGCGTGGAAGAAGAACGAGGAGATCGATCCGTGGCCCGGCGGAGTTCGAAAGGGTTCGGAGAAACCATGCCCAGACACGACCCGTCTGGGACTGCCATAGGACTACCTACATTGACCCCCCTGGCACCACCCCTGGCCTGATCGGCATATATGGCAGTCCCATGGAGTGTCTGGGCATGGACCACTGGGTTGTCATGTCGACGTAGGATGAATCAAGTTTGAACCATGATGGGTTGCAATAGCGGGGGTTGGTTAATCCTAGGTGCGCATTAAAGGAAAAGGATCTTCCAAGGCTCAGTTCTCAGGTTGCATGTTAGTTTGCCGGGGGGTAACAGTTTAACATGCGGCGGGAACGGAACGTGGAGACGCCGCCGGGGAGAATGCATTTCGGTGCTCGTCGTTCAGACACTAGCACACACGGAGTCTTCCCCAGGTTTGCAGGTTCATGTAGACGAGAAGGGTGAATGAAATCCCAGTGTACCGGTTTTGCATGGTTTTGCATCCCCATTTGGGTTCTGAACAACAAACATGCATTCACATGCTAGTTCCTATACTGCTTCTAGTGGACAAATTGGCCAGATGATGGTCCTCCAGCCAATAAGAAAGGGAAGAGCTGGCTGCCCAGACTATGGAATGCTGGCAGCCCGCTGCAGATGGTGTTGTCTTTTCTGGCCCACGGCAGTGAATAGTTCTGCGCACAGTACAACTTTGCAAGGGCGAATGCGCTTTTTGATGCAAAGATGAGGCAAGGAAGGATGTTTAAGAGTTTGGGATGTCGTTTTTGCTCGCCTGGACTTGTACCCTTGCGCGCTGACATGGCAGGCCACGAAGTCATGAAAGTTGTTGGTAGTGGAGCATGATATTGTTTCTCAGAGGAAACCAATGATGATT